GTGTGTATATATATATATATATATATATATGGGTGTGTATATATATATATATATACATATATATATATATAGGAATATTATGCAACCATCAAAAATAATGAAATCTTGCCATTTGCATCGACATGGATGGAACTGGGGGGTATTATGCTGAGCAAAATAAGTCAAGCAGAGAAAGACATGTATCATATGACCTCACTGATATGAGGAATTCTTAATCTCAGGAAACAAACAGAGTTGCTGGAGTGGTGGAGGGTGGGAGGGATGGGGTGGCTGGGTGATAGACATTGGGGAGGGTATGTGCTATGGTGGGCACTGTGAACTGTGTAAGACTGTTGAATCGCAGACCTGTACCTCTGATACAAGTAATACATTATATGTTCAAAAAAAAAAAAAGAAGATAACAGGAAGGGAAAAATGAAGGGGGGGGATCAGAGGGGGAGATGAACCATGAGAGACTATGGACTCTGAGAATCAAACTGAGGGTTCTAGAGGGGAGGGGTGTGGGGGGATAGGTTAGCCTGGCGGTGGGTATTAAAGAGGGCATGTACTGAATGGAATCCTGGGTGTTATATGCAAACAATGAATCACGGAACACTACATCATAAACTGATGATATAATGTATGGTTATTAACATAACATAAAAAAAAACCTTAGTAAGCTCCCCCCAAAAAAGTGCAATCCCATCACAGATATGAAATACCTGTGTAATCAGAAAAAATTTTAAATTCTACAAAAATAAAAAATTGAATTGTAAAATAGAATGATTCCTCTATTCTTTGTATGTCATTGTTAAAATTATTTATCAAATTAACTCTTTGTCACAAAAATATCACCTAGGATTTCCTATTGCTACTAAAGCTATTCCACCTATCTATTCCATAACTCATGAATAGTTCAATACTTGTGACCTAGAGTCAAGTATTTTCTCTTTTTCTTAGTCCTCCGTGTCTTTTAATGTCTTCATTCTTCTAATGCCATTGGATTCAGTTGCCACTACTTTGAAAGCTCCTCCTTCAAGGAGAGTGGAAAGTATTCCATGACCGTCTTACTCAAAGAAGTCTCACTACTTCATTCTGATTTTCCATATGCCCTCCTTTGCCTTAGAATACTTTTTTATTGAATATTCTATCTCCTCTTTTTCCATTTTGAAGAGTCTTCATATCTCCAGGTTCCTAGAAGGAAAAACTGAAGAAATACTATTTAACTAGCAAGGTATAGAGGAAGCAGAAATAGGGCCAACAGTCATAGGATAGATTGATATTTTAAAAAAAAAATTTATTCTCCTTCTTCCAACTGTGTATTTCCATGGTTCTAATTCTTGTATGAAATTTTGACCATGGTTTCTAGTAAGAATGGAAAACTTAAAATGCCATTCAGTACAGTATTTTGTTTCATTATGAATTTATTTGAAAAAAATTGTCATTCTGTCAACAAATTATTCCTATCAAAATGTGGGACATGTACATTGCATTTCAAACTGATACTTACTGTAGTCCAACTGACCTGTTGACCTAGGTCTGTAAAATAGAGAGTGACAATGGAGGAAGTTGCAATACTTTGAATGGTTATGTAGTCCTTCAAAAAAGGCCCACCTTAAATAATAAGGAAAAGTATTTTAATACAATTTCAAGACATCATGATTTTTAACAAACAATTTTATGTGAAAAATTGTGAATGCTAAGAATAAATCATACATAGAAACTGCAATGTACAATAAATATTTAAAGTAAAATAAAATGAAACAAACACATTTTATAAAATATCTAAGAATTTTTCAAATATATGGTAGTTTCCCACCTCTACCTAAACAAAGTGCAGATTATCACTAGTTTTCCTAGGATTAGGAAATCCTGTTGTGTTCTGAGAAAATGTAATACTGGATAATATCATAACCAAATATGATACAGGATATTTTTAAAGAATAATTTTTGGGGGGAAGGGCACCTGAGTGGCTCAGTTAATTGTCTGCCTTCAGCTCAGATCATAATCTCAGGGTCCTGGTATTGAGTCCTGTGTTGGGCTCCCTGCTCAATGGGGAGCCTTCCTGTCCCTCTCTCTCTGCCACTCCCCATGCTCATGCTCTCTCTCTCTAAAATAAACAATTAAAATCTTTTAAAAAAGTAAAATTTGGGGTGTCAGTAGACATAGATGTCAACTGTTCTCTAAATTCTTTTATTATTTGATAAATTAGGGCAAATAAATTTTAGTAGTCATTGCAAGCATCAGCGAAGTGACTTGATGTATGCTTTAAAAGATCTCTATGGATGCTGTGTGGAAACTGGGAGGAAGGGAAGCAAGATTACTTAGGACGAACTCAAAATTCATCAAGCAAGGGATTTTTTGGATTAAGATGGGACCAGTAAAGATGTTAAAAATTCATCAATTTCAGATATGTTTTGAACATAGAGCAGGTTCAACTTGAGAAGAGAGTATTTTGGGCAATTAGGAGCATTGTAATTTCATTAACTGGCAGGAAGAAGAGTGGGGAAAGAGCAGGATTTGGGGGTGGAAATGAAGATTTAAGTTAACATATGTTAAGTGTGTGATATTTATTAGACATTCAAGTAGGTGCTGTCAAATAGGCAGTTGGGTAGGTGTGTCTGTAGATATTTGAAAGTCATTAACATTTAAAGCCATACTGTGTGATGAGATTATTTGAGTGTTCAGTTTGAAAAGAAAATGGAAACTGAAAAAAGTTTCTAGCACTACGGGCTTTAAAAGTAATAAAAGAAACATACAGCAAAGATTACTGAAAAGGAGTTTCTCATGAAATTTGAGAAGAATAAACAACTGATGTCTTACAAGACATGTAAAGGAAATGTTCTGTTCTTAATAATATACACTAGATAAGTCTGACATGTGTGTACTGAAATATATGTACAAAGTGTTCTTTTTAGCATTATTTATAATTGTAAAACAACTGTAAAAAGTTAAATCTTCATAAATGAGATAATGCTAAATATATCTTGTTTTATTCAAACAAAGTTTTACCATACAGAAGGAAAAATAAGTGGACTAGGGCTAAATGAATCTCATAAGTATAATGTTATTTTTATTGCCATTGTAGTTGTTTGTATTGATATTATTCTTTATGTTAATCTATCTGTGATTTATCTTTACCTTTTTCTCATGAAAAAGTGTCATTTCATTCTCTATTTTTTAAAGATTTTATTTATTTTTTTGAAACAGAGAGAGAGTGCATGAACATGGGGGAGGTTGGGAGAGGGAGAAACAGGCTCCCCACTGAACAGAGAACCAGAAGCCAAAGTGGGGACCCTTCCAGGACACTGGAATCATGACCTGAGCTGAAGGCAGATGCTTAACTGACTGAGCCACCTAAGCGTCCTTCATTCTCTATTTTTCCAAGACACAATACATATTAATTTATGACTATTTTTAGATGATTTTCAGAATCCAATACCTTGGATAAAATGTAAGATAAAATGTGCAATTGTTATATATTTATTTTGAAGATGGCATTTGATAAAGCCAATGTGAATATGGTAGGCTATTATTCCCTTGATTAGGTTATGCTATGTGGCTTTATAAGAGAGATTATTGAGGTGGGTCTGAGCTACTCATGCACTATTAAATCTGCAGGATTGGTAAGCCACAGGAATTCAGATTCAAAGTACTAGAATACTGGTACTACAGTACGAGAATGATTGCTGGGATGAAGATGGATAGGGCCACATGGCAAATAATGCAAATAGCTTCTAGGAACTGAAATGGCCTATAGAATGCAACAAGTAGTAAGGAAATAGGAACCTCTGTCATACAGCCACAAAAAACAAAACAAAACAAAACAAAACAAACAAACTTCAGACAATAAGAATGAAGACAGAAGTAGAATTTTCTAAAAGTCTTGAGATGAGAATTCAGCTCCACCAACACCTTGATTACAGCTTTGTGATACTCTGAGCAAAGAATCCAGCCATATTGTGTCTTTAAGCTAATAAATGAGTGTTATTTTAAGCTTAGTTTGTGGTCATTTGTTACACAGCAATAGGAAGTTAATGTAACATGGGTCAAGGTAAAGACTTGGATATACAAATGGTCAAAATCATTTTGACAATCATGTATAACAATAAGAAATGTTAATAAGGACAAAATAATCTGAGATCTTTGTACCACTTGAAGTACTGAAAACATCTTTCCAACATACATCTATTGACATCTTTGGAGAGGGGATTAGTTTCTACTCCTCTATTACTTTTGATGACTTCAAGGAACAGACCATTGGCATATTTTTAAAATGTGAGATTTGCATAGAAGGAACTGAGAGAATCCAGGCATATCATTAATCATACCACTCAGACTCAGTAATCAGGGAACCCTGTCTTTGGCCTTCTATGTCTATGTCCTTTTCCAAAGAGAGAGGAATGGGTAGGGCCAAGAATATATTCCTAAAACAAAAGCCAATTCCATGGATATCAGGCTTCAACCACTTAAAGCCTGTGAATTTTCTGCCCAAATTAATTTAAACAAATCTTCTTTCTTGGGCATTTCTTCCCAGAAATTGGGCCAGACACTAGGGTATGTACCTAGGGGTTTGTCAAGGCCCTTGTATAAGTGCTATGGATGATTAGAGCCAGGGCTGGGAAGGAAAGGACCAAGTCTACCCATGCTTCATCTTTCTGTTTTAGAAATCCAATGACTTTAAGAATTAGAAATTCAACTCTGTGCTTCCAAAACATTATTAAGTATATTAATTGAGGTAGGAGGAGAGAACACATTTTATTTTTTTATTTATTTTTTTAAAGATTTTATTTATTTATTTGAGAGAGAGAATGAGATAGCGAGAGAGAGCATGAGACGGGGGAAGGTCAGAGGGAGAAGCAGACTCCCCGCTGAGCAGGTAGCCCGATGCGGGACTCGATCCTGGGACTCCAGGATCATGACCTGAGCCGAAGGCAGTTGCTTAACCAACTGAGCCACCCAGGCGCCTGAGAGAACACATTTTAGTTACCAGTTTCTATGACAGATGTATTACAATTGTGACTTCAGTTCTTTACCATTCCCATATCCACACCATTTACAATATGACTTTTAGTACCCCCAGAAGAGTTGGTGCCTATTTCCCTGCACCCTTGAGTATGGGTTAGCCTAGTCATTCACTTTAGCTAACAGAATGTAGGGCAAGAGATATGATACTTCCAAGACTGGGCCTTAAGAAATCTTAAGTGCTTGTGCTCATTTGTTTGAATCCCTGAATCCACCATGAGAACAAGCCCCAAATATTCTGCTGAAACATGAGAAACCACAAAGAGTAGAGAGCATTGGCTATAATCATGGCCATCCTAGACCAGCCAGTCACTAAAAACCCACCAGCTGACTGCAGCTACTTGAGTGGACCCACCCAAGTAAGGCTAAGTCTAGCTCAGCTCAGCACAACCACTGAGCTAAAAGAAAAAAAAAGTTTAATAACTTGCCCATGATTATCAATGTTTGCTATTTTCTTTATGTTTTACTGATGTCTTTTGTGTGAGGAAAATGTAGAAGACTAAATCTGCATGATGTCATTGCTCATAGTATAAGCATTCTGGCAGGAAATATATGTAAATATTTAGGGCTTACTTTGTTTCAGTGTTAAGTTTTCTTAATATGAATAGTTATAACATCAGTTATAACTGATAGATGAAGCATCTACCATGTGTCAGTAATTATAGTGCTTTATAAACATGAACTTATTTAACACTTATAAAACAAAAACCAAACCATGGGTTAAGTTCTTTATTAGCTCCACTTTACGAAAGAAGACCCTATAAATAGGTAAGCAGAAGAGTCAATTTTAAAATTCTGTTTTACTCCAAACAACCTCTTTGCACCACATCCTGCTTTGCTCGCTAAAATAATTGAGTCTTTTTTTTTTCAAATAAGTCATCACATTCTTATTCAAGAGCACTCAGTGGCTATATTTCATTCAGATCATACCCTGTAAATGTATGTGAAGGGAAACCAAATAAATATGTCAGGAGAAAGTAAAAAGTCACATTCCCCAGGAAGGTAGAACTAACAGAAATTCCCTGTTTCCCCTTGTAGTGTTCTTCAAATTGAATTATATTTTATATTGATGCTTATGGCATTCTAGAGTCTTCATTATATAAGAGTCAAGTTCAGAAAACAATACCACTATATAATTTTATGTTATTTGAGCATCCATGTGTTGAAAGGCATTTATATGGCTGGCATATACTAGGCCCTGAAGAGGTAAAAATAAACAAGAGAATGAGTCTTCTCTTTTAAATTCAAACCAGATAGGAATTTTTCTTGAACATTGAACATTTCTTGAGCTTGAAAGAATTTGAAATCGTTAAGAAAGTATGACTTCCAAGAATATCATGGATTCCAATTTTTTCAGCATAGATGTCTCAGAGAAATTTGGAATGTCTAAGAAACATTGAAAACAAACAAAACACCTTAGAGAGATGCGAGGAAATCATCATTGGTCCTTAAGTAAAGGTAATATCTGAGAAAGAATGGCCTGAGTATTAGCAAAAGTACCAGAAAAAAAAGGGGGGGGGCAGTTCACCACACTATGGAAAAATTTAGAGATTGAAATTCCTTAATAGATGCCTCTTGTAGATTTACTATTATTGACTTCGAGTAATCTTCTAAAACTTATATTCTACCCACAGCTCTTATTTAACAAGTCCAAATTTAAGGTCAAGTTGATGTAATATTAGTGGCAATGATTATTAGCAGGAGTAACTTTTAAGTGTATCTATTTATAAATTTTTTGAACGAAGAATAGGATTTGACAGTTTGAGAAATTTCAGGCTTAATACTGGATATTATATTTTCCCTAAAATTCATTAATTTCTCTCCTCCTTAGCTCATTTATTCTGCTTTAAGCAGAAAAGAAGAAAGAACAAAGAAAGAAAAAGAAGAAAGAAAGAAAAAAAGAAAGAAAGAAAGAAAGAAAGAAAGAAAGAAAGAAAGAAAAAAGAAGGAGGGAAAGGAAGGAAGGAAGGAAGGAAAGAAGGAAGGAGGGAAGGAAGGAGAGAAGGAAGGAGGGAAGGAAGGAAGGAGGGAAGGAAGGAAGAAAAAAAAATATTGAGCTGTATCCCTGAGAACATATTAGGTGATAGTAGAATGAGAGAATAAAGCAGTAAAACTTTTAGAAACAGAAAGATGTTAATTCAGATCCTGCCTCCAATGCACATGGCACTGGAATGTGAATATTATCCTTTAGACTAAAATTCCTCATGCAAAAACTGGAGCACTAGTTTATGGGGAGAATCAATCGACATACCTGATCTAGACCACTTACTATAATGCTTGCCATTTAGTAAGTGATAAATAAATATTAACTATTGATGAAAGAAAAGGGATTCCAAATTAAATAAATAGATCAGTGAAAATTTATTCTTACCTCGTTCTAGCTGCAGGCCAATTCGGGAAGGATACCACTTTGGACCTATTCCATGTAAAAGAAAGCATTTAATTGTCAGTACAAGTGTATACACATTGTAAAATCTAATAGTTTCTTTGGGTAGATTCCTAGGAGTGCAATTGCTGGATCATAAAGTCATTCTATTTTAAACATTTTGAGGAGCCTCCATATTGTTTTCCAGAGTGGCTGCACCACTTTGCATTCCCAACAGTGTAAGAGGGTTCTCCTTTCTCTGCATCCTCACCAACACCTGTTGTTTTTTGTCTTGTGAATTCTAGCCATTCTGACTGGTATCAGGTGATATCTCATTGTAGTTTTGATTTGTATTTCCTTGATGATGAGTGATGTTGAGCATTTTTTCATGTGTTTGTGGGCCATCTGGATGTCTTCTTTGGAAAAATGTCTATTCACATCTGCCCATTTTTAATTGGATTATTCATTTTTGGGTGTTGAGTTTTATAAGTTCTTTATATATTTTGGATACTAACCCTTTACCAGAAATTATCATTTGCAAATATCTTCTCCCATTCTGAAGACTGCCTTTTAGTTTTGTTGATTGTTTCCTTTGCTGTAGCAGAAGCTTCGTATCTTGATGAAGTCCCAAAAGTTCATTTTTGCTTTTGTTTCCTTTGTGTCCGGAGACATATCTAGTAAGAAGGTACTATGGTCAATGTCAAAGAGGTTACTGCCTGTGTTCTTCTCTAGGATTTTTATGGTTTCAGATCTCACATTTAGGTCTTTAACCCTATGATCTAGCAATTGCACTACTAGGTATTTACCAAAGAATACAAAATACTAACTCAAAGGGATACATGCACTTCAATGTTCAAGCAGTATTATCTACAATAGCCAAATTATGGGAATAGCCCAAGTGCCTTTAACTGATGAATAAATAAGGAAGAAGTAGTATATATGCACAATGGAATATTACTCAGCCCCAAAAAAGAATGAAATCTTGTTTTTTGCAATAATGTGGTTGGAGCTAAAGTGTAGCGCATTAAGTGAAATCGTCAGAGAAAGACAAATACCATATCAATTCACTCCTATGTGGAATTTAATAAACAAAACAAATTATCATAGGGAAAAAGAGGAAGAGGCAAACCAAGAAACAGACTCTAAACTATAGAGAATAAACTGATGGTTACCAGAGGGGAGGTGGGTGAAGGGATGGTTAAGTAGGTGACAGGGATTAAGACTGCACTTGTGATGAGTAACAGGTGTTGTATGTAAGCATTGAATGACTAAATTGTACACCTGAAACCAATATTACACTATATGTTAACTAACTGTAATTTAAATAAAACAAATGAATAACAGGATTAAAAATGGGCAGAATACATGAATAGACATTTCCCTCCCCACTCCAAGAAATCTGATAGTTTCTGTTGGAAGACAGATTAAATCTTAGGAAGTGGATAATGTAGTTATCCAGTGTCATAAATGGAGATAGATCTTTGCAGTGTGCTGATGAGCAGTGGTTGATAGTTATGACAAGAGCTTTAGGGTGGTAATTTTCTGTTTTTTAATCTGGGGTCTGGCTACATATATGGGTTCAATCTGTGGACATGTACCAAGGTATATGATATAGGACTTGTGCACTTTATGTAAGTTATTTTTCAATAAAATGCTTAACCATCTTCATTTAAAACCAAAGAACATTGATCTTATTATTATTATTTTTTTAATATTGACACCTGAAAGTGGTTTATTTCCTTTACCATGAATAAAGCACGCAATTCATATTGGGATAATATGTATTATTGACTTTATTAATTATAAGCCTATTGATTATAGCAGACCATCACTTTAGTATCTTTTCCTTATACTATCATTAGGAATAAATACATAGTTTACTAAAGAATTCTACCTGGATAAGGAAATCAAAATACATTTACCATAAACAGCCATAGTAGAAAAATTGGTTCACAATTACCAGAATATAATTATTTTCCCTTAAAATGAATTCTATGTTATTATTTTAAAGTTTCTATTGAAAATTGAATTCTTAACTTTGATATCCAGTATTAAGCAAATTAACTTGATTTATAACAAATTAAGAGTACTGTCAAAGGAACATACTGCATTGCTCTTTTGTTTTCAAAACATTACTTTTTAAAGTGGTAATAAGAATGATGATAATAAGACATAAGTAGACTATTGCACTAAATTCTCTCTAAATTTATTGCAAAAAGAGAACTTATATATGTACATTATCATGGACAAATAACTCATAAGTCAAAAATTATAATCACAGGTTTAAAACTATTTAGGATTATATTCAAACAAAATTTAGTAACAGCATGACAAATGAGCAGACACAAAATTTAACTTTGACATTTGATTTTTTAAATTAGAGAATATGCAGGTAAAGACACTTTATTGTTTTGTTTTTGTATTTACTAATAAAATTCTTATTATTTATATAGCCATTGGTTGTTCTGGAATGTATATTAACATTATTTGCTGAAAGATATTTTAAAATAATTACTTGTATTACCCATAGTGAAAATCTGCTGCCAAAGAAGATATGATGCAAATGCATACAACAGAGGCTTCTATAGTTTTAATTGAGTTTCAAATATGGGAATTGGAGAAATTACAGTCATAATGGGAATCCATTTATATTGAACAGATAGTCATTGAGCACCTATGATGGGTGTACATTAAAGCTGCCATTTTCTGTCCATTTAAATAATATTCACATGAGATACTGCTTTCAATAGCACTTTGTGATGCCTCCTATTGTGGAAATAAAAAAAATATCATTCTAAGCTGATAAAACTCTCTATGAACTAGATGACTGAATACTGGCTGAACCCACACTAATACATCAAACAAATTAGAAGCTCTAAACACTTTTTGGGAAATCCATGACCTTCTAACTCTGTCAACATAGATCTGCTTATGGAATAAGCTTGGCATTTATAGGTTGTGACCTTTTAACACTGTGTCCTAGTGAAAAACAGTTATTAACTGCCTATATAACCCTTTAGATTAGTTTCAGTCACCTTTTCAAAGAGCAAAGAATACATTTGCTGAAATGTTCTGTGCTTGTTGTGGGAGGTGGAATAGGTTTGAAGAATAGCAGAAAAAAAGACAGTATAAATGATAAAGAACATAAGTTGCATAAGGATTTTTAGCATGGATGAATAGTCTAAAAGATTATTTATATTGTGGAGTACATTGAATTTAGATAACTGGCTTACAGATGAATTATAAATACATAGGAGATCTAATGCATCTGCCAGTCTCTGAATTTATCAAGACATTGAACTTGATTTGTGCAACTTTTTTCATATTCTAACCATGATTTATCGTTCTTTTCTTGATAATTAAAAGTGTTTATATCACTAAGGGATAGCATTCTATTTTAGTTTAGTTTAGTTTAGTCTAGTTTAGTTTTGTTTATTTATCTGAGAGAGAGAGCATGAGTAGGGAGACGACCAGAGGGAGAAGCAGACTCCTCGTTGAGCAGGCAGTCTGACATGGGGCTTGATGCCAGGATCCTGAGATCATGACCGAGCCAAAGGCAGACGCTTAACCAACTGAGCCACCCCAGCACCTCAAGGGATTATATCCTAAATGGGTAATATACGCAATTCAATATATATGTACTTCAATATGTAATTCAAATATATTTATTTTAATAAGGTAGTATTTTCCAAACTGTTAGTTGTGAGCCATTAATAAATTGAAAAATGGACTTAGTGTATTATTCTTAGCATTACTTAAAGGAATAGAACAGAATAGTGTAGAGTAGAATAAGTAGAGATGTATCATCATGACACTGGACCCAATGTATTGCAATAAATTCTAGATAGGTTAAGTAATGTTTCTTGAACTTTTGTTCAATAGTTTAAATTGTATAAGTACATTTTATTTTTATAAGAACTATAATAATTTCTTATTCACAGTCAAAAAGTTTTGAAATCCATGAATCCCAGAACACTTATGCCCTCACTTATGACCCTTGGTAAAACCTGTCCTTTGCTCCTACCTTTTTCTTGATTTCACCTATCCCAGTAGGAAGGATAAGTTCTGAGAGCAGTTAAGGATTAAAAAAGTTAATAAATATGATGGAGCCTCCATATTGAACCATAGAGACTTCTGGGAATAAATGAAATGGTGATCAATTTTTGTTGTTTACATCCTGGGTTCTTTGTGGCTGGTGTTGTGAGATAAGATAAAGAATAAATAGAAACAGAATATAGACCTAAGAAGTATGCTATGCAGAGCTGGCTCTGTTCAAGGGGTTAATGGAAGAAAGATGAAGTTCTACAAGCTTCTACATGGCTCAGTTTAATTCCTCAATTTTCCAGAACTGGATGTAGAAGAAAATAAGCAAATTTTTCTGGTCTGTTCACTGTGACCTGCCACTAGATACAAATGTGGCTATTAAAGCTAATCTTGGAGATGACAGTTCCAGAGAGTTAGAAACAAAGAAGGCTTAATTTCCAAATAATTGATAGATACAAGATAGGAAATAGATTCTACATGTTCTGAAAAATAACAATGAAACCTGTAAAAAAAAAAACCTTTAGATAATAAGACTCAAGAAAATGTAGCATTTTTTTTTAATAATCTCTATGCTCAATGTGGGGTTTGAACTCACAGCCTTGAGATCGAGTCACATGTTGTACTAACTGAGGCAGCCAGGCACTCCAAGAAAACATAGCATTATAAACTAAAGTGTATCAACTGTTATTTCTAATAACCCATTTGAAAGAAAAAGTAAATTGTATATATATAATTATTATATTATATAACATAATATATATTATTTATATTTGTATAATTTATCCTTATTTATATACACAGAGGCTTCTTTGACAAAAGACTGAATAAAATTTATAGAAATTTATGATCAACTTATTTTTAATAATAAAAAAATAATGGGATGATTGTATAGACAATTAGATCAGGCAGAAGAGAGAATTAGTTAGTTGGAAAATAGACCAGAGGAAATTACTCAGAAAGTAGAAACATGAAAGGATCAAGAAAATATGAAAGCAACTTAAAAGAAA